TACTCTGGACTTAATGAATACATATTATTAAAATTTGGGATATAACGGTTGTATTGATGTATAGCAACTTGAAATTAGATTAGATTAGATTAGATAGAACTTTATTAATCCCTCGGGTGGGTTCCTCTGGGAAATTCGATTTCCAAAAAAGCACAGCACCGACAGAAGTTACAGAGTTACAGAATATTATATATATATATATAGATATAGATATAGATAGATATAGATATATATATATAAATACAGAGACAATATAAATAAAATATACGAAGGGGATAAATAGAATAAATAGGAATAAAAATAAAAATACAAGTGAATTGTACATTTCAAGTATTGAGGTCTATTGCACCGTTGACTATTTACAAAAGTATTGCACAAAAGGTATTGCACAGTGAGGTGAAGAGGCACTACAGCTTAGTTGTTCCCCCCTCCTTTGTCCTCCTGTTTCCCCTCCCTCTCCCCTCCAGGGAGGAGTTAAACAGTCTGATGGCGTGTGGGACAAAGGAGTTTTTAAGTCTGTTAGTTCTTGTCTTTGGGAGAAGCAACCTGTCACTGAACAGACTCTTCTGGTTGTTTATGGCCGTGTGCAGAGGATGTCTGGCATTGTCCATAATGTCCATCAGTTTCTTTAATGTCCTTTTCTCTGCCACTGTCACCAGAGTGTCCAGCTTCATGCCGACCACAGAGCTAGCCCTCCTGATCAGTTTCTCCAGCCTGGATGAGTCCTTCTTTGCTGTGCTGCTCCCCCAGCACACCACAGCATAGAAAAGTACTCCAGCAACCACCGACTGGTAAAACATCCTCAGGAGCTTCCTGCAGATGTTAAAAGACCTCAGCCTCCTGAGGAAGTACAGTCGGCTTTGGGCTTTTTTATACAGGTGTTCTGTGTTGCATGACCAGTCCAGTTTATTGTCCACCCACAGCCCGAGGTACTTGTACTTGTTGACCACCTCCACCTCCTCCCCCTCTATCTGAACCGGCAGTGGACCTGCTCTAGACCTCCCGAAGTCCACAACCAGTTCCTTAGTCTTTGAGGTGTTGAGTTGCAGGTGGTTTGTGTGACTCCATGCGACAAAGTTCCTCACCAGACTTCTGTACTCCTCTTCCTGATCATCCCAGATACACCCCATGATGGCTGTGTCGTCTGCAAACTTCTGAATGTGGCATAATTCAGAGTTGTAGCAGAAGTCAGAGGTGTACAGGGTGAAGAGAAGAGGGGACAGCACAGTTCCCTGTGGTGCTCCTGTGCTGCTGACCACTGTGTCAGACGTGATGTCCTTCAGCCTGACGTACTGTGGTCTGTCGGTGAGGTAGTCGGAGATCCAAGCCACCAGGCAGGGGTCCACCTCCATCCTGTTCAGTTTTTCTTGAAGCATACAGGGCCGGATGGTATTAAAGGCACTGGAAAAGTCAAGAAACAGGATCCTGACCGTGCCTTTTCCCCCATCCAGGTGTGAGTGGGCTCTGTGTAGGAGGTACAGGATGGCATCCTCCACTCCGACACCCGCCTTGTATGCAAACTGTAGTGGGTCCTGGGCATGTTGTACCTGTGGTCGGAGGAGGTTGAGGAAGAGCCGCTCTAGAGTCTTCATAAGATGTGACGTCAGTGCCACCGGTCGGAAGTCATTCAGCTCATTGGGCCGGTTCTTTTTGGGGACTGGGACGATGCAGGATGTCTTCCATAGGGCGGGCACTCTCCCCAGTCGCAGACTGAGGTTGAAGACTCGTTGTAGCGGCTCCCCAAGTTCAGCAGCACACGCCTTTAGCATCCTAGGACACACCTTGTCTGGGCCTGCTGCCTTTCTGGGGCGAAGCTTCCTCAGTTGTCTCCTGACCTGATCCACTGTGACACTGGGAGATGTTTGGGAGGAGGGAGGGGGGGAGATGTCTTGCTGCTGAGAGAGGGATTGGAGGAGGGGGGTGTCATGGTGTCAGGAAGGGGGGAAGCGAGGGAGGTAGGAGAGTGGGGATTGGACTCTGTAGTGAAGGTGAGGGTGGGGGGGTTGTGGGCTGGTCAAACCTGTTGAAGAAGTTGTTAAGTTCGTTTGCCTTCTCCACAGTCCCCCCCCACTGTGCTTTTCTTGGTGTTGTGGCCTGTGATGGTTTTCACACCATTCCAGACCTCCCTCATGTTGTTCCTCTCCAACTTCTGCTCCACCTTCCTCCTGTAGGTGTCCTTTGCTTCCCTCAGGCAGCGTTTCACCTCCCGCTGTGCTGCCTTCATCTCCTCCTTCACTTTGCTCCTGAAAGCCTTCTTCTTCATGTTGAGGACAGCTTTGACTTCCTGTGTTACCCACGGTTTGTTATTAGGATAACACCGTACCGTCTTAGCAGGGGCGACCGTGTCCACACAAAAGTTGAGGTAGTCTGTAAGACAGTGTGTCGCCCCCTCTATGTCCTCACCATGTGGGCTCAGGAGCACATCCCAGTCTGTGTTGTCATAACAGTCCCTCAGAGCATCCTCCTTTTCTGGGGTCCATCTCCGGATGGAGCGCGTTGTGACCGGCTGCCTTTGGACGAGGGGTGTGTATTGTGGCTGTAGGTAAACCAGGTTGTGGTCTGACTTCCCTAGTGGGGGGAGGGGGGTGGCTCTGTATGCATCTCTCACATTAGCATACAGTAGGTCAATTGTCCTGTTGCTCCTTGTGGGACAATTCACAAACTGGTGAAAAGCAGCCAGAGTAGAGTCCAGTGTGGCATGGTTAAAGTCTCCAGATATAATAATGAAAGCCTCGGGTTTTGTGTCTGAAGTCTTGCTGTGACTGTGTGTATTTTCTCACAGGCAGCTGTTGTGTCGGCCCTCGGAGGGATGTAAACACACACACAGATCACATGACTGAACTCCCGAGGTAGATAATATGGCCGCAAGCTAACAGCTAGCAGCTCCAGGTCCGGACGGCATACCGAAACTTTAACGGAGACGTGTCCAGGGTTACAGTATCTGTTGTTAACGTAGACAATGAGTCCCCCACCTCTGCTTTTTCCGCTGGCCTGCGTGTCCCTATCGGCTCTCACGGATGTGAAACCGCATAGGTCTACGTTAGCCTGCGGCGTTAGCTCGGTTAGCCACGTCTCCGTGAAGATAAACAAGCTGCACTCACGGTATAGTCTGTGGTTGTTCAGAGCGCACAGTTCATCAATCTTATTCTGTAACGAGTTCACGTTGCCCATGATCACTGTCGGGATTGATGGTTTGAATCGCCTCCGGTGATCCGCTCTCCTCGCTCCAGCTTTGCAGCCTCTGTAGCTCCTCTTTAGCTCGGCCGGGATGTTGTGTCGCATGCCGGTCTGTCCCTTTGTTTTAGTGCCAGCAGCTCCGCTCTCGAATAGATGAAGGAACTGGTTCCAGAAGTTTTAAAAAGTGCATTATCCATCTTGTATCGCTATATCTAAGAGGTATAAGTAGAGGAAGGTGAAAAAAAGTTTGAAAAGCCTAGTCTAAAAAAGTTAAAAAAGTTTAAAAAAAAGTTAAAAAAGTTAAAGTTAACAAAAAAGGTGCGGTGTTGCAGAGCTACTTGGAAATATAAAGATAAGCTCTGGCGGACTTGGTTCTATGGTAGGTCTTAAAGGGATAAATAAAAACATATTTATATATAAACATATTGCAAAACGCTTAGCTGTGTATTTAATAGCAATATATTACAAATATCAAACTTCCTCAGTTGTGAATAATTTTGAAATTCTGAATTTTTTCAAATATGACATAGTCTATTTGGGGAATGCAGAGATAGGGCATATTCACGCTTAAATTTCATTTACCCTGATCTGAATCACTTGATGAGTTTATAAAGTCATAACTTCTCCCAGTTGTTTTTGTTCTTTTTACACAGGAAAAGCTCCAAACAAACCGCAAGTGAAACCAAATTTGTTCCTACAAATCACATATGAACATTTAATCTGCTTCTTGATCATATGTGTCTTAACCATTTATTTACTTTTGTTGCCGGAGAAGTCCGTACTGACTTTTTGTGCACTCTGCACATCTATGGTAACTTGCCGCATCCCAGACAGAAAAGGATAACTGGCAATGGGAAGGGCATTTAGTTCAAACTTAAAACATAGTTGCTTCATAGTTGCATCACAGTTGGGTTGGATCACGTTCACACCATAAACAAACCACTCTGGAATTAATTTGAACCATGGCCACCTCCTCCAAAGGATCTTGGTGTGGTTACTTTGGTCTGCACCCGAGTGTAATTACATTGTTCGCATCTACACAAGCAAAGAGGAAAGGCAAACCAGAGTTCGATTGAAACTGACTAAGCACAACAGCTGTGGGGGAAAAAAAACCCTTGAAAACATGTCACTCCTTTCTTTCAGAGCCACACTGCATGTTTAATCTGGAACAACTGTGGAACATAGTGTGCACCCACAATGGAGGTAAAAATCTACCCTGTACACAATTAAATAAATATGCAGTCCTCATAAGATGGCCCGATGTATTTTTTCAACCATTAGTGCTCTTTTGAAAAATATGACAAACAGTAAAGATTAATTTGTTAAACTCTTAGGTGCGGAAGAAAACAATCCTCTATCAACATCATGTTCAGCCTGATAGCAGTGATAATAGCCAACGTTATGCACAATATGATGGGAGGAGCTTAAGTGGCTTTAAGTAAAACAATTTTTCAATACTAATTTTGTTGCCTTGTGCTACTCCTACAGTTGCACGATGTGAACAGCTCAACACAGAGAAACCCAACTCCAGGTTATGAAAAAATGGACAAAAGCAAAAGTGATTCTGCTGAAACATCTACTAACACAAGTAAGTAAAAGAAATACTTAGGTATAGAAATGCATTACACATATTCTTTTCCCCCAAAAGTGAATGTAGGACCTCAGAGCAAATACATATTATACTCTATAAATATTCACAAACTCCCAGTTTAGTGCTGCCATTTTAGAGTTTCCCCAGAGAGTGAGAGGGTCACTTCTATGCTACTTAGAAGCACAGATTGCAAGGTTTGGACTGTTGTCCATGATTAAATGCCAAATAATGGTTAAGAGTATCCATCCTTCTTGAGGTATTTGGCAGGATCCTGGAATGGGTTCCACACAATCCATAGTGCTCCTTGGAGAACTGTGGGAAGAGACACAGTGGAGAGTGGGTTGCCAGGTGTGTTTCCACATTGTGCTGGGCTCCAGGGAGAAGGACAAGGCTGAGGCAGGTTGGAGCAATGGTGTCAGCCGGTGTCAGCAGGTTGGAGCGTCTATGAGGCGAGGCAGGCAAATCTTCTACATAAGTGATCAGGTTGTATGTGTAAAGTCTACAAATGAAATGGGAATTTACAACATTCAAGCCTGGGATAAGAATGACAAAAGATTAAGCTGATTCTCCTTTGGAGATAGTGGAAGTAACAGTCTGGTGGAGAATCACAGCCACAGCTAGTCCTTAAATACTCAGCCATCAGTTGGACAATGGTTTGCAGGTGTGCAGGAGTGAGCCTAGGAAATGGTTTTGCACACCGATGGAGGTAGAAAGGAAGAAGCCCATAATTCCACCGAAGGAAGAGAATAGACAAAATATTCAGTCTGCCCTGGTTCCTGACAGAGCTGGCCATAACAGAAACTATGTTTGAGAAAGTGGCTGTTAGGACCCTAGCAGGGCCTCCTTTGAAATTACCCTTGTGTGGATGTGTCCGCCCATCTCTCCTGCCTTTTTTGTACAGCTGACTCGATTCATCAATTAAGGATACTTAAGGCCAGAGAAAGGTGAGCTCTACTACCAGAGAGCCTTGTTGGGTTGCAGCTAGTGAGCTGTGTGTGTGGTGGTTCATTGCCCCTGCGCTGTGGAGAGAAGTGTGTTTGGTGACTACCCCTTTTTGACTTACTTTTCAGTTTATTGATAAAGACATGAGTTTTGTTGTTTTCTTTCTTTAAAAGGTGTTATCGCCTTGTTCTTCTCTTTTAGTTTTGTTATTAATAGAAAAATTTATACAATTAACTTAATCATTTTGCCTCCCTATCTCCTTTTTTCAACCTGGAGACCTTTTGTTGCTTTCCCTCATCCCCTGAACCTTTTTTGGGGAACGTAACAGTGGCTGATATGTGTACTTAATATCAGTGCACCTAGGACCAAAGATTTATGATTGACTTTGTTTTCAAGTCAACTGATCTGAGGTTCTGTGTCTTGGACACTCAGTTGAAGAGAGGAGAAGAGCTGTCAATTGATCACTGCCTAGGAGCAAATTGAATCACATGGCAGTGAATTTTGTCGGACAGACCCAAAGGTGATGAGGTTAAACTGGGAATGTCTGGAACTTGTTCCTAGAGTCTTTAACTCTATTATTGTACAGGATTTCTCTCACATGCCACAGTGGGTTTTGGAAATGGAGTCTGAATAAACCTCAAGACCCCCATTGCAGAGGTAGCTGGCAGTAACTGTGCTCATAAGGTCATTGATGCCTGTCTTGGCAGCAACGAAAAAAACCTGCCAATGGACACTGGGGATGAGAAAATCTGTCAGGCTGAAGAAAAAACCTTTCACAACTTGTTTGATGCAGGAGTATCTTAAAGCAGCAGACAGGTCTCAAAGGGCCACAAGGGCTGTGGATTTGGTAGTTGCAGAAGCAAAAACTCAGGTATGGGAGGTGTTTGGGGAGCCAATAGAGGACTTTCAGTTGGCTTCAAAGATAGCTGGTAAACTATCTGCCAGATTAAGAAAGCCAAGAAGCACTTGGCTTAGGCTGTGTATGCTCTGGGTATGGGCTTCTGGGTCCACTGCAATAGGCCATCAGGTACTCTTACAATTAAAGTAAGAGCATTGTCTTGCACTTTGTCAGGGTTGCCCCATATTGGCAGTCCTATTTGTAATATTACTGGACAAAATCTCAAGGTCTAGCCAGGATGAGGAAGGTCACATTGTGTTAGAAGGTCAGAATGAGAGTCAGCAACTTCTCTGTTGAAAAATGTAAAAAAGATAGATGAAGAAGATAAAATGAATGTCTTTTGGCAGTTTTCTGGGCATGGAGATATTATATACACTACCAGTCAAAAATCTGGACACACCTTCTCATTTAATGGTTTTTCTTTATTTTTACTACTTTCTACATTTTAGATATACCAAAGACATCAAATATATGAATCAATTGTTGTGGAAACTTTAACAATAACCTGCAACACACCCAGTGAGCTGGATTTGAAGTGGATTTAATAAACACGCTATCTCCACAATGCAATGTGGAGAAAGCATCCCTCTGAAACACTAGGATCATCTCTTAATTGTGGCCACCGCCCTTACATCTTTTAAACACACACAAAGAACATTCCACAAACTCTTACATCTTGGCCCCTCTCACGGGGGGCTATACCTCCTCCCTCACAGAGAGAATCATGACTTTGTTTTCTGCTTGACTGTCACCTAAGGATTTACATACCTGATAAGCAGAAGGAGTCTCACTATCTGTTTCATGTCTCCCATTACAATGGCCTCACTGTGTTAACATTCCACATGCATGAAAACTGGTGAAAGAGAGTGCTCTTACTATAGTGTCGCAGTTCGAATTTTTGAGGAAGAGACATATGACTGAGAGTCCATAGTGGGTCAACACAAATGATTTTATTAAAACACATATATGTGGTGAAGATGAGCTCTGCAAAACATCAGGCTCCATCTCCCGCCTGACAATAGGTGGGTGTAATATTTATACTTATGATGACCGGTAACTCGCGTCACTAAAACAGAACAGTTCCTTTCTCAGTTCCTCCACCGCCTCCCAGATGCATCCTGTTATTACACTTTTCTAGACTTACACAACATTTGCAATCAGTTTACCCAGACAGGCTATGTGTCTGTGTTGTTAACCTCAGTGCATGACCTCACTCAACGTCATCTGTTACCAGGCAAACTTCAGTGCAGCAGGCTGCTGAATGCACACAGTCAACATGTAGTAAATTATACGGTAAACATGTAGGCAACCTTTCAATACACTCAAAAAAATGAAACGTTGACTTTAATTAAAATTATTTCGTCAACAGGTTCCACGAAATTGAATTGTGTTAGTTTAAAGCAAAAGTCTTTAGGTCATCTAATTTAATAAACTTGCATTAAAGTAAAACAATCCTTTTGAAGTGAGCCAATTTTATAAATCTATTTAGGATTAATTAACAAGCAATATTTAAGACCACCTAAAACAAGTTATGTTGTATGGACATAAATTATGTATTTACAGGTTAGATAGATTAGATTCGTTTTGTGAACACATTTCTTGTTTGTGGTATTTAAATGTTAAATTTAAGTTAGATTAATTAAAATATTATATTTTCAGCGAAATTGTGCTTTACTAATTAGTTTTACACAAATCTATTTTGTCAACAGGTTCCACACAAATGAATTTAATACAAGCCACTTATTTTCTTTAATTTCCTTTATTGCCAAGACATTCATTAAACATTTCTTTAACAAAACAGCTGCACCACACATTATTAACCCATTAAGGTTAGTAACTAATAGTATGCACACAGATGCACCATAAAAATAACGATTTTAAATTAAATGTCTCTGCCAGAAACAGAAGAAAAAACATTTAAGATCACATAATAGGTTGACCACAAAACCTTTAACAAATCAAAATGAACTGTTCACCTTAACAGCCACAATCCTGGACGGCATCCCATGACAAATTTGTGAAGAACAGAATAAACAGGTTCCAGTCACCAGGTTAGATAAAAAAAAAAAGTAATAATAATAATAATAAAAACAAATAGTCTACTAATATTCCCAAAATGATATCACCATCCCAAATAAAACTTGAATAAAATATGCAAACATTATGATCTGACAATAAAACAGCTTGCCAGTTTTCAGTTTTTTGCAGCAGCTTAACAGAACTCATTTAACACTTGCCACTGACAGCATTTATTTACCACTGTATAGGGAAAAAACTCAAGTGGCAAACATTTTAACATGGAAAGAATTGTTCTTTTTTAAAATGCGGCAAAATGCACATTCATCCTGTATCGTCTCTCAATGAAACCATTTAAATCTAAATACTTTGAATAATCTTTTAGTAGGCCCTAAACCCCCCCGCCCCCAAAAAGAGTAAAATCTCTGTAATTGCAATTGTTTACAAACAAATGTTTTAAATCTCTCTCAAATTTTGGTTCCCCCCCCACCAAAAAAAACAACAACATTTTTTAAACCAAATTTCCATTTTATTCGCCTCCCAAAAACTTCTGTCCATCTGACAGAACATTCATCCAAATAAAAGAAGGGTTGGATTATTCATACAGTTTATTCTTGAGCATCTGTACCTTTGTTGAGAGTCTGCTGGCATCCAGATGAAGGAAGACCTTCTGAAGTACCTCAAAGAAAGCTTTCAGTTCCCGAGGATAACTGAGATTGAGTGCATATATCACACCCATTAAGACCGCACACGCAGAGGCCATGTCTCCCAGGTCATGCAGAACTTCAACACCCTCGATGGTTATACCCACATCAGCTGGAGGAGTGCTGGCATCACCTCCTTCAACACTGATGGTGAAGATACCAAGGGTAATTTGTTCCAGCTCCCTTTGAACAGCTGTAGCAAAAACACAGAAAAATGCATCCTTAAAAAAAAAAAAGCCAAAGTCACCCTTTAATGAAATAAACACAATATCAGGAAGACTAATGATTCTGCACCCTGGTGCGCCATTATTTTCGACTACAGTTTTAACAAAAAATGTTAAATAAATAAATACTAAATAGAATCACCATTATATATATATATGCATCCTCTAAGTATTATGTATTACTAACTTTTTAGTATTGGATTGCATTACATTGCATAACTCTTCCTGAAATGTGTGTATACATAAAGATTCCTGTTGAAAGATTTTATTATGTTTATGTATAGAAGTACATTTCATTTGAGGTTCTCTAGATGTGTTTGCTCTTTTACTAGAGAAGTTACACTGTGCAAGCTCAGCACGAAGTCTCTACCGTTGTATGTTATCTCTTCCTGCATGTGATGAAGTCTCTACTGTTATATGTTATCTCTTCCATTCATGTGACTGTGACGCAAACATGCTTGAGTATAAATAAAGGGTGGTGACTGCTGCGGAGTGTGAGTCTCCGTTTGAACTCTCACCCGTGTGCACGTTAAACCTGCAAACCTGTCTGAGTGTCATTTATTCTGACCTGAGTTGCATTACAGGAAAACTCCTAACATTTCCCCAAAGCATTTAAACAGATTCCATGCAAATTATAACAATGTGACAACATTAGTTATTCAAGATTTGGTTTAATACAGATAAAGACTACGCTAAAATTACCAACCAGGTATTCTTTAAAGAGGATGCTTGGGTCTTCATTTAGGTAAAGAGGTAGTGCCCTGAGGACACACTCCCTCCTCTTTTCAATAGTTTCATTCTGGAGAGAGTGACAGAGGTACAGAAAGAGAAAACAGAAATACTTTAGAATGACACAAACTGACAGTATATGCAAAATGAATGACATATCCACTGCTGACACAGACATGTACACAAGACCAATTAATGATCACATGAATATTTAACATGTGGGCAGGGTTTCCACCATATTATACATATCCATATTAAGCAACAGAGGGAAAGACAAAATAATACGGCATCTTTTTTTGCATACCAAAATGGAACTTACAGGTACTATACACTAGCTGTTTAAATTTGAAAGTGATCTTATAATGCCATAACATTTTGCTGCGAACAGAAAAACACACCTGTGTGGCTGGGGCCAAAATTTGCCTGATTTTCCTCCCTGCAGCGCCTCCTTTATTCTTGAAGACTTTTATTAGTTGGTCAGTGTATTGGTCAAGTTGTGCAAGAAACCTCGGAACCAGTGGAGCAGTAGTAATCCTTACAAATTCTGCTTCTACCTAAAAACATGTCAACAAACACAACATACTGTACTGTAACTATATTTATATATACTATACGTACACATATACATACTACTGGAGCCATTACAGCTTTTATTGTTATTTATAAAGATTCATACCTCAGCCACACTAAATAGTCCTGGCCATCTGATCTTGAAGTCGGCGATCATGGGATTGTTTTTGACAAGTTCCTGCCTCCTGTATGCAAAGGTCCTGGCCATCTTCTCTTTGATAACTATCTCATTATGCTTCTTCTTGACCTCAGTTAGCAATGCCAATCTCTCCCTTTCAAGGCTGTCCTGGGTCTCTCCAGCCGGATAAGGAGGACAAAAATTTACCTCTGCCTTTCTAGGTTTTTTGACAGCATATGCTGGGTGACATCGATCGGTTGGTTTGTGCTTGAGGGAATTAATGCTCACTTCTGGGCACCCCAAGTTTCTAAGCTTTGTCCTATAATTTGCCATCTTGTACTTGAGGCTAATCTTCCATCCGTAGAAACCACTGAAAGATCCTTGTTCTCTTAAGCATGGATGTGCTTTGATTAAAGCTTCAGCAACAGATTCTATTTCCAAGTTTGAAGGATATGCCTTAAACGTCATGATTTCTCAGCTAGAGCTTCTAAAATGTCTGACTTAAGTTTGTGTCCTGGGTTCAGAAGAATTCCATTTGATATGAAAGCCTGGTTTGCACTTTGAAGTTGCATCTCCACGTCATACGGAAACTTTGGTATTTGGAATTCTGCAGGCCACTGAGATCGAGCAGTTTCGGAGTCAGAGGATGAAAGTAATAGTGTGTCAGAAGATGATAGTGACGTTTCTTCCCCACTTTGGTTCATCCCAACTTCACCAAAGTCTGAAGCATCAGTCAGACAGATGACTTTCACTGTGCTCTTGTCCTGAATATCATCCATTCGTTTAAGGTTGATAAACTCATTATCAAAGTCACTGTCCATGTACTGGAGTCTAATGTCCCCTGAATATCAAACTGACGTTTGATCTCATCTGAAAGATCCTCCACAGACTTTGGCATGCCCGATGCTATCGTCAGTTTTTCAGTATTGTTGGAACCAAGGATGATCTGCAGTTTTACTGGTTCAGCCATCATTCGATTCCGTGCTTCAGTCTAGAAAAGAAAAAATATATATACATGAACATAAATCCAATAACTACGTACAAAATTGAAAGTATTAAAATTGAGATGTCAACATGTTTCACAACGGTACTTAACAGAGAAGTGAGAAAAATTCTGGCTAATCTCAACATAAACACAGATTAAAGGTTTTCTTGTCTAGAAGATGTACTGATGGGCCTAACAGACTGTTAGATTCAACAAGTCACAAGGAGTTAGTGGCTGAACATCACAATAAAGCCAGATGCTACTTTAGGTGCTTATGCCAGTGAGATTAAAGTGCATATTGAGTAAGGTATTAATTACAGCTGTTTACTCACATATTCATTGTGTGCTTTTGATGTAAGGATATCTTTTCAATGTAACCATTCGAAGGGGACCAATGAAGTAGTCATTTAATGGGTACTTCTCTGCCAGTTCATCATATGTTATCAGGGACATTTTGCCACTTGTACATGGTTGCAGTTCAAAGGCCCGGTAGTGCTCCCTAAACCAAGACGAAAACTTGCTGACAATGAAATTCAGTGTACCCTGAACAACACATAATCTGATTATCTCTCCAAATTCAGGCAGCCCATCAGTAAAACCACAGATAACGATCATTCTATTTCTGTAGTTGATCCCTCTATAGTCTGCACTTTTAGTCATGTTTACTTCTGTCATGTCAGGATACATCTTTTTGATAGGCAGAGAAATGTCATCTTTCAGAACCTCAAGTGGAACTCTTGATGCACTTGACACTTCAACTCCAGATTTCTGTGGATGTAATGAGTGTAAGTGATAGGCAATCAGCATTTGATGTTTCCTTGACAGTGTTAGAGCAACATTCTTGAAACACTTGGTATGATGAGCCACTTCCTTGAAAAAACTGTGTTTTCCCTCAAATCGCATTGTCCATAATCCAACAAGAGGACCAAAACATCGGATCATCTGAGGGTAATGTTCCAAGTAGTGATGCTTTGGCAGAAGTTTTTTGTTGGGAAATGCTTCTTGATATTTCTGTCTGTGATCAGAAATTTTGAACTGAAGATATCCAATTGATTCTTCTGTATGGATCTGGGCAACAGCAAGTTCCACTATCTCCTTTAAATCCAAAATGATTTCCCACACTGGATCACCGTCAGGTATAACATCTCCAATCAAGAAGGGCAGCAATCTTAACAGAGTCCAATTTTCCGCTGCATTGCCACCTATTGTATTTTTTCTTAACAATGTTCGTGGAACAATATGTGGACGGTTTGTTTTATCTTTTCCCTTATAGGGAAAACTGACAATCACTTTATTTAAAGAGTCCAAAGTGATGTATTTTTTGGATATGAACATACCCAGACACTGTGCAAGTTCCACTGGAACAACACCTTCCAAAAGATCGTGGAGTATGTCAGGTGGATATCCAGTTGTCACATGAAAATGAGAAAGATTTTCCGTCAGCACACATGGCCTTTTTACTCCAACACAATGCTTTCCACTCTCTACTGCATGTTTGACATGTTCTTTGTGCAGGTCTTTGGATCGAAGAGTAAACTCTCCAGAAAGTACCGGTTTGGTCTGAAAGTCGCTGAAGCGTCCTGTGCAAAATCGACAAACATACTCTCCTGAAAAGCTCTCCACAAAACCTGCAATCCCATGAGCACCTAGATTGTCTGCAGCTACACACTGTACCGTGCCTTTAATATTTTTTCCAATCTGTGGGACAAATACCCCATGCTCCTCCAAGACTGCCAAATCACACAAAAGAGGTTCAAGCACTTTTTCATACCCATATTCCTTGACGTAGCTGCTTTTACACAGTATTGCCAAGTAGATGGATGACAAAGAGGAGTGTTGGTCTTGGGATAAGTTGCTTAATATCCAGTACACTGCACAAAGTTTGTGCTTCTTTCTTGAAGTACCGAGAGGGTTGCATACTTCAAAATCATCAATGTAAAGCATCACGGTAATTCTCAATTCATCAGCAGACAGGAACTGATTTTGTTTGAAAAATTCTCCATCTTGAAATGATCTGTATTCTTGTTGCATACTTTCAGTTTCCTTGGATTGAGCATTGTAGTTTTCTACTATGTCATCTACTATACCATTCTTTGTTAGGAGCTGTTGTAGGGTCTGCAGTAATGGTATATATTGGTAGGTGTGGTTGCTCTCCTTATCCAAAATATATTCAATTGGTTCAACGACATGGAACTTTTTGCTGAAGTACTGTTTCCGCTTAAAAGCAGTTCCAAGTGTACCCATATGTCCAAGTGTTTTTGTCAGAGGGTTAGAGATGCAGACTGCAGAGGCCAAATCCTCAATTTCTTTCACATTAAGATTAATATGACTTTGCTTTGTACAAAAATCTGTAACTATGGCATTTATTGCAGTCAGGGATGCAGAACTCATCAGGAAGTGCAAGTCCTGCAAAAACTCATCCACTGCACTGCTTGGAACATGGAGTACATTTTCCAGCTTAAGCAACATCACTGCAAATTTCTCTTCTATCATCCTCTCATCACTTTTAGAGATCCCAGTCTGAGACAAGTCTTGCACTTCCACCTGGCCTTCGTCAAATACTTCACTGTCTTCATGTTCCCCTTCAGGAGCTGGCCTGTTAAAACGGTCTCTTACTGTTACTATTCCACCTTTAAAGTCACTGTAAGAATAACCAAGATGTTTTCTATTTTTATGTGATTTGAATGTTCCATAGATGTTTGTCATAAATGTACAACCCTTGAACACGCATGGGACCGTTTCATTTGCTTTCAGATGCAAATTTATGTGACTAAAATACTCCTTTTCAGAGGTAACTTCAGAGAATCCACAAACATGGCAGCTGAATGTGGCCAGTGACAATGTTTGCTGTGATTTCTCTCTGTTATGAATCCTACAAAAATGGGACCTGAGTGCATTCCATGACTTAAATGTGCATGGACAACTAATATATGGGCAAGGATATGGGCGCCAGTGCCCATAATCTGGATGTTTTAATCTATAATGTTTAAGTAATTGGCCCCTAGTTGAGGTCCTTGCACTGCAACCTTTACACTGCCACATTCAGATCTGGAGAAGACATAAAAGTAAAGTAAACAAAACTTAACTCGTAAAACAGTTTTTTTTGAAAAAAGTATGACAGTTCACATACCACATGCAAGCACAGGCATACCACATACACCACATCAGTATAAGAGGGAGCAGGTAAAGGCCAGGAAAAAACTTAAAAATTATTGATTGAATTACAAGTAAATAAAATCTTACTCAGAAGAAAAGCAAGAGATTGACACTGCCATGTGCCAACTTTCTATAGAAAAAATTATCAGGTCTGTTGACCTTCTGTCTGTCCAGTTATTTTTCGTCAATAATTTCATTTAAAAAAAATGTAGTGTTTATTTAACAAAATTTAATTTATAACCATGTTGATATGTATAACTCTGCTAGGAAACATGCTGTCTTTACAGACCATTTTCATATAATACAGATGACTGATAGAGCACAACAATGGTGTCACAGTGGCTTCTGGCCCTCAATTTTTGGATTTTAAATGTCACAACTTCATGCTATCATTGTTATGCTATTAGACATTTGTGTGATTCTCAAATTACAATAAAGCAATCTCAATAAAGCAAGTGGAAAAATATCCTAGAACCCCTTTAGCTAATCACTTTAACAAGCAAAGAAACATTAAAAATGTGTCTTACACATTCCGCAAAGTAAGGATATTAACATGTTAGCAGTTAATACAATTGTTTACAATAACCTGGGATAAACAGGCACACTAAATTTTATCATTTGTACTATTATATCTCATCTTATTCCCAGGTTTGCTCTATGAGGGACATACTTCATCTGTGCATCTATTCTGAGCGCAGTAAAAAAAAGAAATGCAAGCTCAAATGTTGCATTTTGTGGAGAAAATTATTTTGATCTTAGAAAAGTTTAATTTCAGCGAAAAAATTTCATTTCTGCATGCAAGAAATGTATTTCAGTGTTTGCTATTATCCATATACACACACAATGACAGCCCCTCTCGCTCAGTTGTTTGCATTTGCTCTTGATCAGATCCGCTCAACTCTCTGTACACCGTTTTAAATGTGCCACAAAACCAACCAATCACAGACTTGGATGCTAAAATTCTGATTGGCTGCTACAGTCTCCAATCAGCTTGCTAGCTACTACTTTCCAGAAACACGGTCCAGAATGTAGCTAAATCGAGTTTGGAGAGCAGAGATCTGAGCATATGGGCCCGCATGAATCCGCACTTTCTGAATCCTTTATCATCTGCAACCGAAAATAGTTGTGGATGATTACTATACCTTTCTAATGTGAAGTTGTTGTCCCTGGCTCTCTTTCTCTCTCTCTCCTTCTGGCTCTGTTCCTGTGCTACTGAGTGTAACTACCGCCCCTCCCCCTCTGCCCAGCGTAAAGCACAAGGCTCGCGTGCAGAGTGAAGCGGAAAAAAGTGCGAGAGAGAGGGTGA